GAATCGACTGAAGACGAACAATGCTCAGGTCGTCCGTCGACTTCAACAACAGAAGAAAACTTGTTGAAAATCAAAATGTTGATTCGAGAAAACAGAAGGTTAACTTTTCGAGAAATATCTAATGCTTTAAACGCTTAATCTGGCTCAGTGCAATACGTGTTGGCGAAAAATTTGAACATGAGAGTGCGAAATTTGTTCCACGCCTCTTGTAACAAGAACAGAAAGAACTCCGCCTGTCGATATTGTTGGAGTTGCGTGACCATGCGACTCAAGATTCAGGATTTTTTTAGTTTGATATTGGAGTTGAATCTGGGGTATATGTTTACGATCCTGAAACGGAAATACAGAGTTCTGACAGGAAAACGGCGAACTTGACATAAGCAAAGAGATCGCTTCAATCGAACTCAAAAGTCATGTTGAACGTTCTCTTCAATATTGAAGGAACTGTTCTAGCTGAGTTCTTGCCTCGAGGCGCCGCTATGAACTCGGAATAATACAAAGATCTGTTAGAACGCCTACGAAACGACGAAAACGGCCGGTAAAGTGGAAGAACGGATTTGTGCTGTATCATGACAACGCCCTACGTTACACGTCTTTTATCATCCGCCAATTTTTTGGCTGATAAAAAATTACCACGTTCCCATCACCATACTCACCAGACTTGGTACCCTATGATTTCAGGCTATTCCCAAAAATTAAATTGACGATGGAAAGAAAACATTTTGACACGATTCCAGAGATCGAAGCTGCAACGAAAAAGCGTTTGGGAGCGTTAAAGAAAGGTGATTTTAGAGTTGTTTCAGAGGTTGGCAGGACCTTGTATAGATAGGAAGGAGGACTACTTTGAAGGTGACTAACTGCGCTTTGAAATTAATATAATAAATTACTTTTGGCACGTCCATTTACCGTATTCTTTTTGTCACACCTCGTATGTTAGACGAAAGCTGTACCACAGCTCAGGCAGTTAGACGCCAGCTTCTTTTTATGGAATTCCAGGTTAAATTCCAAAGCAATTCATATGAGTTATTGGTAAACATGGAGGTAATGGCACAGTTTTTTTCTTATCGAGAGTACTTTGGGTTACCCCAGTCAATTACCCGTTCCTGTTCGCTAGCCAGCATAGCATCGCAGTTGTAGCTTCAGCTAACCCTGCATTTGGACCGATTCAAGGAAAGTAGTAAAAGGTAAAGTTGTCCCTCTGCTTAACTAATTAAGCACTACGCCAGGAAGACGTATGGGGCAGTAGATGTACAGACATACCTTTTCTTGACCTCGGCATTAGATGGAGGTGAGTGGTCAGCTTAACGTTCCGGCCACTTTCCCCCCAGGACACGAGCCCCCGGTACCCATTGGATAGGAGGCTGGATGTTCACTATTTAAATATTTTGTGTTCCTTCTGGACATTCTTGTCAGGCGATGCAGAACGCAAGGACTTCATAAATGGGAGTTGAACTTTGCAGTTGAGTGGCTGTCGCTTCTATATCATATTCGTTATCACGGGTTAGAATCTTTGACCGGAGACTGGGAATTTCGTCGTCTGCCAAGTCTGCCAAGGACTGTCAGTCCGACAATCCCGACAAAAAATGGAATTGGCACTGGCGATTTCTCAGGTAATTATTAAAATAAATGGATCCCTTTGGGACCCAGTGGGACCTTTGGGAAGTCACGTTCCGTTTCAGTCCTATACTGACTCCGACAGTTTTGAAACTGAAGGAATATAAAAGCGATATCTTGAATCATCATGTCAAAATAAAAGAGTAAATACGCCACGACCGCTTTCTTTCATATCGAATTCACTGTCATATTACGATTTGATACTAGTCCAAATTCTGCGTTCAAAACGCGTCGCTAAATAAACCAAGAAGCAGTAAAACATATCTGAACTCTCACGTCTGCAATTTGAACTGTGGTTTATATTTTCAAATATCCAAGATCCCAGACAGTTCAGTCGGCAAAACATCTTCGGCTACGGGATGTATGACATCATAAAGTACGGCATTTGGGCCCAGTTCTTGGATAATTAAACAAAATTCACATCCCCGTAACCGGCTTCCCAAATATGTATTTTAATATTACCCTTTCATTTTTTCTCTGTCTCCGAGTCTGTTTAATTATATTTTATAGACGATGTTTCATGATAATTCGTTGATGTCCCGTCCGCCAAGTTTATAATAATTCATTTAATCCCCCCCCCCATCTTTTTATATGAGATGAAGGGCACAAGTTATGCTGCTTCTTATTATGTAATTTTCTCCTTTTATTGATGACGTGACATTATCCTCAATTGTAAAACCCAGGTTATGAGAAGAATTTTATTTCTGTGCCCCACATATGCCTTTTTGCCTGGTATATCAGCAAGAGATATCTTCAGGCGTAGGAAATTCAAATTATTTACAGTTTGCACCAGGGGTGGACGGTTGTTTTTAGTCGGGGGCTGGATGGTTTGTTTCGAATTGGCCAAGGGTCTGAGAACCTCACGGTGAGATCTGTGATTAAGAAGCAGTCAGATGGTTATCAGTTATTTGTAGTGATCCAACACATTTTATAGATGAGCCAAGACAAAATGAGAGTATCATAAATTAATTCAGGCACGATATCCTGAATTGTGACTGGTGCCCTCACTTCTTAAACTGATCCATAGTACTGCGCTGTAGGCAGACCTACAGTTTTAGTTTTATCTACGTTTTGGTGTTGGTAAATCTCTTTTATATTGAAGAAAGTCGTCTTCCGGGTTTAGGCACCGTGTATTCTTCGTTTTGGCCGACGTTCCTCCGAAACGTCGGCCAAAACGAAGAATACACGGTGCCTAAACCCAGAAGACGACTTTCTTCATAGTCATCGCCGTGAAAACCTCAAACCTTACTCTTTTATATTAATTCCCTATTTTATCGCGTTATTTTTATGAAGCTTCTTTGCTTCGATAAGTCTTTGTCTTAAAAGTTGTGATAAATTCGTTTCGTACATTTCATAGTTCCGATTATTAAAAGAAACGTGACTTTACTTCAAGAACTTGGCTTTAGAAAACGTAAAAATATCCGAGTCAGATTGAAAGAAAACGCTGTGTTTGTAATGAATACAACGAAATGTGTTGAACGTGTAGTTTATTGGAAACGGTTCTGCAATTCACATTAAAAAAATGCGTGGAACAGTGAGTGTACTTCGTTTAGAAATGTATTTTCTCTCTCAAGAAACTGTCACGTATTCGATAATGGAAAAAACTTTGCAGTTTATTATTTTTATGAAAATTTTGTAAGCCCAGAATTCATCTCACACTGCTTTGTAGCATTACAGCGGGGAAATGGACAAGGAAATATACTGTCTTTCTACATGGTCGATATTTTAAAATTACTGGCTCCGCTGTCCGAGACCAGCATAATAGTCCTTGCGTAAGGCGCATGTTATTCTCTGTCCGCATATTTCATGCGCGATACCACTAAACAAATGTCAGATTTATTTCGTATTACAAATAATCCGACGAATTAATTTTAGCTCCCATCGGTGCAGTGTGAACTGTACATGAAATTTAAATAGAAATATACCAATTTTCTAATAAAAACTGAACTGATATGATTTGTAGATGTCATTGAAGATCTGCACCTTTTGAGCTTTTTTCCGATATGGAGAATTATTTATTGGAATGTAAGGAAAAATAATTTATGACTTGGTTATGATCAGCGATTTTTTTTTGCACTGAAAAAATATATTTATGTCGAAAATAAATCCTCATCCTATGAGGTACGCAAAAATACGAAAGGTGTAGTTTATTTCGTACATGGGTCTGTTTTAATGTCCATTTCTCACATGTGACAGTATGCAGAAATTTGGCCGACTCTAGTAATGACTTCATCATTAGTAATCAGAGATACAGTGTTATTTGCTGTGTCAAGGAACTTAGTATATAATCCACTTTTTTCCATTGGCGTTGCAGCCCTCATTTGGGCCTAGGCCTACCTCCATGAAACTCTCCGTTTCACCTTCGGTTTTACTAGATCTTAGACATACGGTAGGACTCCTTGGGCGGGTGATCAGCTCGTCTCAAGGCCTCTACCTATACACAAACACAGAGAAACGCACACAAATATCCATGCCCTGAGTGGACTTCCGAGCGACCGAAGACAGTGCATGCCTTAGACCGCTCGGCTACCGTGACCGGCCATATAATCCATTTATACATGTTTTATTTGTCTGTACGTGGAACATACTATTTGAATAAATTCTAGTTCCTGAAGGTGTACTAATAAAATAGCTCAAGTAATACCCCACTATGCTACATAGAGCAGCACCACCAAAGGAGCCAGTGGATCTCATCCGAATTCTTTTCACGCCATTTTAACGTCGTTTCTTTCCATTCACTCATTAGTCTACGCATTCATCTGATATACGTCGACTCATGCACTCATCTTTCCGTCCTGTCGTTCCCTGAGGCATCCGTTCATCCCCTAACCCCTTACGCATCTGTTTATCCACTGACCCCTTAATATCCTTCAGTTATTCTCCTTAAGGTTCGGCCACACAGAGCGCTAAGCTATGTTCGCTACGTACGCTACGTACGCCGTGTACACTCTACGACGCAGCTAACATAGGGAACATAGCGTACGTAGCGTACGGAAGTCTGAGTGGCCAGTCACATTAGCAATAAAGGGAGATATTTTTCTGTTTGTACAGCGAACACAGCATACGTAGCGTACGTAGCCTACGTAGCGCTCCGTGTGGCCGAACCTTTACTTCAAGCATAAATACACGTACATCCATTCATCACATCCTAAACATCCATCAATTCATCCATCCAGCCACGAGGATTTACTCATTCATCCATTCTCCTCTGCGCACGCACCTTGTGGCCCGCTCACCCTTTACGCAGCCATTTCACCTGTGCCTGTCAATCCACACACCCCTACGCATAAATTCATCTGCGGTTGCTTGGATCCCTCACCCACACACCCCTTAAGCATACATGAATCCACTCGTCCATCCATCCTTACAGTTGTGTTGTGACTCACCCCAGACTCCGAGCAGGGTGGGGATCTGCATCCCGAAGCTAAGCATCCAGCAGAAAGCGATCATGGCCCCGATCCACACCTTCTTGTAGATCCTGCTGTACACGTTGTGGTGTGCGATCATTATGTACCTGCACATTGCACAAACTGTCACATATCCGTTGCACTTACCGTCTCGTGAACATGTTTATACCCCGCGCCACGGAATCTGGAGCTTCACAGCCACAATATGAACATTATTCTCTAGTTTATGTCAACACGGCGGTGCTGCCAGCTCTGCTGTGCACCCGTAAACACTTTCTATGAGTCGACTTGTCTCCTGTCCTAGTAAACATGCGGTCCTATGCTTCTTGTTGGCCGTTATGTTGTCAACTTTTTTCATTTATTTGTTTTGGAGTTACAACATCTGTTGAATTTATATTTTGCATTGATCTTGAGAACTCGATATGACTAGCAGCTTACGGCGGGTATATCGACACGTCACTTGCTGTTACGAAGCATGTGGAACGGTACGCGTTCGGAAAGTTTGACGTGAGAGGCGAGACAGAATAAGCGAACTGCTTACGTTTATAGCCTTTCAACGATGTTTCTGAGCAGATTGAGCACGCTACAAAGTAGTTTTCACAAATCTTCGAAGTAACAGCTGAACATCATAACGATATATGCACCCTACAGTATTTTAGTGTAGACCGATTTACAAAGTATATCAAATTTGTCAAGTGATTGTGGAACAGACGGAAAGACACGACCTTACCATGCTTTGCTGTATACAAAAACCTTAGACAGTGATTTTCAGCCTTTTGAATCTTGCGTCCCACCGATCATTTTATCAGAAACCTACAATAAGTGAAACAGCATTTAGTTTTCCCAATGCGTTATTTTTACAGTAATTTTATTTTAGTTCTATATTGATCATTAGTGGAAATTACGATTATCGAGACGTCATGTGCGACCAGCTCAAAATGAAGTCAACATCGGTTGAGAAACATTGGCCAGGACAAAGCAGACTGAGAATTCCGATTCACTGTACTAAACTCCATATCCTTCGTTCCTGGTATTCTGCTACTAATGTGTTTCATATTGATACTAAATTTCGAGTCCTTAGTTCCCGGTATTCTGCCACAGATATACACCATGTTTATACTAAATTCCACGCCCTTCTTTCTCGGTATTCCGCCACTAATGTACATCATGTTTATACTAAATTCCACGCCCTTCTTTCTCGGTATTCCGCCACTAATGTACATCATGTTTATACTAAATTCCACGCCCTTCTTTCTCGGTATTCCGCCACTAATGTACATCATGTTTATACTAAATTCCACGCCCTTCTTTCTCGGTATTCCGCCACTAATGTACATCATGTTTATACTAAATTCCACGCCCTTCTTTCTCGGTATTCCGCACCAGTGTGCATCATGTTTATACTAAATTCCACGCCCTTCTTTCTCGGTATTCCGCCACTAATGTACATCATGTTTATACTAAATTCCACGCCCTTCTTTCTCGGTATTCCGCCACTAATGTACATCATGTTTATACTAAATTCCACGCCCTTCTTTCTCGGTATTCCGCCACTAATGTACATCATGTTTATACTAAATTCCACGCCCTTCTTTCTCGGTATTCCGCCACTAATGTACATCATGTTTATACTAAATTCCACGCCCTTCTTTCTCGGTATTCCGCCACTAATGTACATCATGTTTATACTAAATTCCACGCCCTTCTTTCTCGGTATTCCGCCACTAATGTACATCATGTTTATACTAAATTCCACGCCCTTCTTTCTCGGTATTCCGCCACTAATGTACATCATGTTTATACTAAATTCCACGCCCTTCTTTCTCGGTATTCCGCCACTAATGTACATCATGTTTATACTGAATTTCATATACTATCTGTGCAGTCTCTGGAACACTGTGAAGGAGAACTTCACTGGCGTACACTTAAATTGCATCATTTACGATATTATACAAGTCGCTGTCCTTGATGTGCATTTGTACCAGAGTGAAATCCGTTATTGTAGAGCTAATCATATTATGAGCATCACACTCAACAGAACTAGAATGTATTTGTTCTTGTATTTTGTTAATGGTGTCGCAAAAATAATTCACATACAAGTTGTTAACCTCTATTAAATCTAAATTTTGTATTTTATAAAATGGCCAGTTTTAATTTCCTGAGACAATCTTGAAGGTGTAACTTTTTTCATGCTAGTAGGCTGTTGGTGTTGTCACTTTTTCATATATAAATGTTACCTCCATGCGCATTTGGAATCGTGTGAAGCACGTATTAAAATGGCTCAGACAGTTCCTCCGTCCATCCATATGAACTTTTGAGACAACTCGGGGACCACTATACGGATTTGCATAAAATTTCTTACTGCGGAAGACGTCCTCACAGACAAGGACTGCATAAATATATAATTACGAAATAAGTCTCCGATATTCCATGAAATGACTCAGAGTAGTGTGTGACGTGCGATGCAAGGAACTGCATATGTGACAAGAAAGGAGTGCGATTGACTATCCGATGAATGGGGCAGGAAGATGAGGTAAGAACCATTACCGGACAGCGGGTTCGAGTTCCGTAATGTTTAACCTGAAATGTCTTGATTAGAGACAAAATTATTAATCTGTTTTTATAATATTATACATATAATACTATAAAATGCTGAGATGCCTACCTGTTTACAGTGATCATAGCAATTAACAACAGCGACACGCCAATGCTGCCATACCGCATGAAAGGAAACAGCTGGCACAAGAAATCTCCATGTATCCACGTGCCGTAAATAAATCTGGACGAGCTGAATGGTAGCACGAAAGTGCAGAACATGAAATCCGCTATACATAAACTGAAAAAGAAAACAACACCTTCTATAGGTCTGGCTCTGCGCTACGATGCAGATACTGTATTAGCCCTAGTTTAATGAGCCACATCATAAAATATACACTACATTTTTCAACACACCAGTTTTGGAAAAAGTGTATTCATTAGCTTACAGCTACAATAAAGGATTGTCGATGTACGGGGAGGATGTTTGAGAGTTTCCCGAAAACCGTTCTGCCGCTTCGGCGAGAGGAACACAGGCTACGACTCATCTGGCATTGCACACGTTAGGACTTCCGGCGTGGCACACGGCCGTATACATGCTACAACTTCGGCAGAGTCTACACGAGCGCACAAAATGCGTCCGTTGTAACGAACGTACTTTGCTGAGGACGTTGCTGAGGACACCACACAGTTGCAGAATGCGGTGCGTACTTTTTTGTCTGCATTCGCCTCTCTTGTTTAATTCTACAACGGACGTCACGACGTTCGTTCAAACGGACACGTTTTGTGCACTCGTGTAGACACTGCCTTAGGTCCAGTATCACGCCAGTAAGTCACTGAACAATTACTATGGAGAGGGCTTATGTGTTGTGTACTATTTGCAGTACTCGCCTTATACTTGGATTGCGCGTGCGCGGACATTATGAGCAGATGTTTGTGTCTGTAGGAGACTGACTCACATTTGGAAAATAACGCACTGAACTTCACGTCCACTCCACCTATATAGACAAACTCCATATAGGAAGAGTACTGTTTGCTGGAACGTGACGCAGGGTAGTTATCGTCTACCGGACTACACGGATGCACATCCCAGGAGATAACTACGCTTACTGTCACCGTGGTGAGAAACTAAATTTAAATTTAGAGTAACTCGAAGATTTCTATCTTGTGCGATATAATACCGTGTAGTGTGGTGAAAGTCATCTGCCTGCTTCATGCTGCCTTCATGCTTGGTTTACTGTTCAACCCTGACGATTGAGGCAATATGTTCCCCCGAAACGTTGGTTAAATTCCACCGGCCTACAAAGCATTATATCCTAGAAGATAAGAGCTGTACATAAACTCCACTGCGAGGACCTCAAATTCTTCAAAGTAATTTGATGTTTCACTTGTAAGAATGAAGAGTACGTAACGTCTGAAAGTTGGCGACGATGGTACAATACGACGTTGAATTTTCTGGACATTGTACAGAAATTAAGATGGCGATGTCTAGAAAACTGGACACTGCATGAGCAGTACGTCCATAACTACTTCCATGGAGTGGCATCCTTCTGGAAAGACTGATACTCGTTCATGTGGTCAGGAGGTTCTTTGCCTTCTGTGGCACTGGAATTTTCATTGCTGTGTTCGTAAGAACTTGCTACTTGTCCCTGTTCTTATCACGCTGACTCCAGCCCGGAACTTGATATTCTAGTTCTCTGAGATCTAGTTTAACATTATCTTTCCATCTATTCCTGGGTCTCCAGAATGGTTTCACCAATTGAGTTTCCGGACTAAAACTCTGTATGCATTTCTCATCTCCCTTACGTGTGCTGCACGTTCGCTTCAGCTCATCATTCTTGATTTGGTCACCCAAATAATATCTGGTGAACAGTATAAATCATGAAGTTCCTCGCTATGTAATTTTCTTCAGTCTCTGTTACTACTTCCTCTCCCTTGCGTACATATATCGTCATCAGCACGCTGTTCTCACAACCTTTCATTGATGTTCTTCCCTTCGGCCATGAAATTAAGTTTCCCATTTAAAAAGCAGCAAGAATTATTTGAGCTATCAATACTGAAGAAATGGGTATATGAATTTGCAAAGAACGTTAATGAAAATGTCATTTTTACTAACCGGAAGGTTGAAAACCGCTGACACAAGCCCTCAGTCATTTCTACCCCCACCTTCCTGTACCAGTAAAATCCTACTTTACATGCCGTCCACATTAATCACACGGTGAATTGTGGCTTTTCAATAACAGAAGTCGTGAGGTTCCATAGAAACGAAATAAGATATTTCGATATATGTTAAAAAATATGTCTTGTTCTTCCAAGTGCTTTTGTTACAGTATGATCTGTACTTTTCCTTCCCAGTAGTGCGCTGCATTCGGTCACATAAGCAGTTCAGGAATTAAAAAGGATACGTTTAATACAGTTGGACCTGTTAATCATGTTTCTGATTAATGACACCATATACGTGTAGGCAACACGAACGACGTTTCGGCGAAGTCTTCGCATTAAATATAGAAGCAGCAAGGATCTTCGAAGCATCGGCAATACATAACCCAGAAATACTATCCGTATTCACAATAGGCCTCTGTGAAAGCCTCAGGTGTTCTGAAGCGATAATAATTTCGGGTATTTAGAAGTCATACAATATTATCACGTAGTATATGTGACTATAGACGGGGGTTTGAGTTGGATATTGGATTTAATGACCACTTTACCACGCGACTCGGAAGTAAAAGTAATTACAGCGCCGTCGCTGATCTCCACACTTAAGAAATCACTACAGCACCCGCTAAATATTTTCATCCTGCTGTGCCTTCACTGGCCGTTCCCTGGCTACGGCTTCTAACAGCTGAAATTCTTCAGCTTCTGCGCTCAAGTCATCTATAGATGGCAGCTCTCTTCCAACAAACTCCTTTCTTCACAGACTCCCCTACAGAACTGACTTGGTTGCCCCAGTTTTCTTCCTTATAATTTCTCGGCACGTACCGCGTAGACAACACCATTCATTCTTGTATGCTAACCGTTTCCGCAGGAATGTGTTCCCGTCACGCAGCAACGGGTTACGTAACCCCGTTTATTAAGAATCTGCTACTGAGCAACGGGCGTTGATTCGTGGCCGTTACTCAGCAAGAGTCTACACGCTACAGTATATTTTAAGACTTCTTGTAAAATGCTCTCTTCTTCAACGTAATCCTTCCTTATTTTGAATCGTAATATATTTTGTGGCACATTAAATTCGATCAAAAACGGTAGCTTACGAAGCAATCAATGTAATTGAAACAGCAGTCGTTTTATTACAGCTCTGCAGTTATCGGCAGTTTTAATTTGTTTGAAACAAAATATTATGATTCTCCCTTTTCAGTTTAAATTCCTCTAACTAGCACAAGGATGAATAAATTTCTCTTTATTACTAATTACAGCGACTGGTACTCCTATTTAGCATAAAGCATTATTCAAATTGCCGCTAACTGCGGGGCAATCAGAAGGGTGGAAATTTCACAAAGCTATTCCAAGTCTTCGTATTTTACGGTGGAGGTTTCTTTCGAGATCCCCCCCCCCTTCAATTTTCCATTCCTTCCTTTAGGACTGCATCAGTAATTAACAAGTTATGTTCTCTTCGATTCGCCGCTTTCCTGCTTTACCGAGGAAATTGACCCCCCCCCCTTCCGTGCTTCTCTTTCATTTTGGAGTAAAATTGTGTTTGTGGGAAAATTTAAAGATTAGCTTCTAATTTTGTCTGTTGCTTTGAAACGGCATCAAAAGAAGATATCTGTACTAAAGTTTGTTTCATCTACAAGGTAAGGAAGTGATCACTATTTACAACTGGATTGATTCCGTTGATCAGCTGGTTTAAATACAGAAATATCCGATTTCAAGTTATGTACACTACTTTCTGGAAGAGGAGGAGGTCCTACGGTAATGCTTTCTACCATTCAGTCCAAAAGCTTTTGTTTTGTTTTGTTTTCTCGTCTGCTGTCTAAAAACATAAACATTACAATGCACAAAACTAATTTTGTCTGTATATCTTTATGGATGTGAAATTTGGTCTCTAACATTAAGGGAGGAACACAGACTGAGGGTGTTTGAGAACAGGGTGTTGAGGAAAATATTCGGACCGAACAGATATAACGTAACAGGAGGTTGGAGAAAACTTCATAATGAGACTTCATAACTTGTACTCTTCTCCAAGTATAATTAGAATGATCAAGTCAGGGAGGATGAGATGGGCAGGTAATGTAGCATGAATGCGGAGAAAATACACGCTTATAGGATATTGATGGGAAAGTGATAAGGAAAGAAACCACTAGGAGAACTAAGAAGTAGGTGGGTGGATAATATTAAAATGGACATTAGAGATATTAGACATTAGAGATGGGGTGGTATGGACTGGTTAAATGTGGCTCAGGATAGGGACCGGTGGAGGGCTGTTGTGAACACGGTAATGAACCTTCGGGTTCCATAAATTGCTGGGAAGTTCTTGAGTGCTTGCGGATTCTCAAGGAGGGCTCAGCTCCATGAAGTTAGTTAAGGAGGTCTTACAGAGCGAGTCTCACTCTCTGTTCCTGTCTGTGTGACAAGCCTCTCTGTCGCCTTAAGAGAGTCTGGAATGAATTAGCTGAATTCATTAAGACGAAAGGATGTGATTAGGAAAATGCAGAACATGATAATGACTGTGTAACAATAAAGATGAAGATAATGCGGAAGATTATAATGGAAAAGACTGTGAAGGTGGAGAGTTTGTCTTCTGGGGTATAACGCCGTAAAGTCCGTTGAAAGTCGACTTTCGGAAGTTCACTATACGGTGTTATACAGGGCGAATCGTATAGAACCGGCCCGATGAATTTGCTAAAATTCCGCAGGTGATGCATATAACCGCTCACAATTACGACATAATCCGTGGGCCGTGCTGAGTCGAATGTTGTGCGCATGATCCGGCAAGTGGCAGCCTTTATGCTGCAAAGTCAAGGACAATGCCGAAACGTGTCTGCATTGGGCAGGCGGCAGTCATGGAGTACACTGTTGAACAGCGAGAGTTTCTAATGCCTACTTGAAAACGGCGGACACTTTCAACACCTGCTCTGATCATGGCACACAATCCAAGATAAGATATGTGTAAATTACTTTAATGTCTGTATGGTATATTTTATATTACACCTCATTTCGTCGGGCCGGTTCTATATGAATCACCCTGTATATCAGAACATAGAACTCTGCATATCACCGCTGTGAGAGTCTCAAATCCTACAGAGATTTGAAGCTGATAGTAAAATACTGTCACAATTTGGTGACTAGACACTTGTTTGGATTGGTAATCGGATTTACAGAACTCATATACTACGTAAACCGTAACAACAGATAATTAATTCACGCACCCGACTTCTCACTACAGCACACGCTAAGTCGTCTCAGCGTTGACGTCGTTGTCAGTCTTCATTCATGAATTAGTCAAAGTCAAGTCACAATACGACTGACGGTCAGTCGGCCAGTCAGTCTGTGTGTCAAGTCCCTTCTGGAGCCCAAGATTAGATTGTGTTACCATCAGACAGTTGTGGTTTACTAAATTTGGGGCGCCCTTTTTGGCGAGAGGACGGTCTGTCATTTGTCGGGGTCAGCAATACAGGTCAACTTTGCTTCATCATTTTTAATACAATGTTTGTGATGTCATTATTCTGCCTTTTTTTTTTAACTCGGCCCCATTGAGCCCTGTTATGGTCTGCTGAAATATTGTTGCGACTACTTTGAACATGTCGTTCAGAGACGAGCTCTTTGCATTAGGAGCCCGAACTGATTGACTTGGTACTTGTTGGTTGTGCCTCAAGGGAGGCGGGACACTGTGACGGGGCAGGCCTGTGAAACTAAGACCGGCTGAGGTTGCTGTGTGTTGCTGCGCAGCCCCGCCGCCAAGGACAGCCCTGGGTGGTGTGGCTGGAAGAGAACGCCCTTCCCGCTAGAGTCTTGGGCGCTTTCTGCGACTTTCTCTTTCGCATCTCTTCCTTGTCTTCATTTCATTTCATTTCATTGTTAGAGGGGGTGGGTTTCCCCATGAACTTAGACCAGTTATTGGTCCATTGTGCGTCCCCCTTTAATTTCTACTGTCGCCATACCCTTCCAGTACTGGTGCTCGCTATCAGCCCCTTTCTGCCAGCGAGGTCGGCCCTCTTCTGGCAGTGGTACCCGATACTTCCCCATCTGCCGGAGGCATTAGAAACTACTTGGGCGGGAAACTTTCCCTAATTTTGCTCAGGGGTCTCCTAGAGACATGAGGATCGTTTACGTGCCGTAAATCTGCGACACGGGTTTGAACCCGCGTACCTTGAATCATGAGGTGGGAACGTTACCCCTAGACTACGGAGGCCGCTTTCCTTGGCTTGCCTGCAGCCTCGATAGTTGGAGGATGTTGGTATCGATGCTATATTGCACTTTACCGGGCACTCCATGTACAGGTGACCGCTCCCATACCACATACAACTGGGAGGTTGCTTGCAGTTAGTCGAGACATGGCCAAATTGTTTGCGATTGTAACATCGCGTGAGAGCAGTCTGGGCTTTATACGCCTCTATCCTGACTGCAGTATGGCAACAGCTCGTCAGTTTGAATATCTCGTGGGTCTTTGTCGTCATAGGTAAGGTTGTTAGGAAGAGGGGAAGGTTTACTGTGGTTGATCCTTCTAAAGGTGATCGACGGGTGGTAAACTTTTGTTTGACGCCAATAACATCAAAGCTAGTGTTTACAAACTCATTTTACATGTCCTCTGCACTAGTTGAGAATGGAAAATGGCGCATGACAACCTTTATAGGCTTTTGGAATCTGGGATAGAAGTCGATCGGTCGGTCGGTTAAATTGCTGCTGGCTTTCGCCAGTACAGTCACTCCTGGCTTCAGTGTCTTCGACATTTATGACCAAGATTTTTATTCTCTCCTAGACATGCACATGTACGTGTTTCGAAATGGGTTCATCTCTTCGACAAAGGAGGGGTCGGTCTTTCTATGTAGTCGCTACGTTTGTTGCGCGCTGTCATGGTGTCCAGGTCACTATGAACTCTATGCATCCTTTGTCATTGGCACTCTTTGCAATTTCATGAAACGAGTTGCAGTGCACATGAGCGACGGCTAATGCAGGGCCAAATATTAATTTATCACACGATAAGATCTCACCCCCCCTCGATACTGGGAAGGTAAGAGAAGGAGTACACACTGAGCAGGTTGGTCTAGCAGAAACGATTTAGACCTGTATTTTGAAAGTTCTCGGTTCCAAATTCTTTCCAGTTCATCTTTCTTCTGTCATTCATCCATTCGACATTGAATATTCTAGGTGCTGAAAGTGTCAATGAATAACCCGCAAAAAAAGATACCTTCGTGCATAATATACGATGGAATTACAAGCTGAGGGCAGTGAGGGAAATAAATATGTTTCATTTTGTAACAGAACAACTGACTCAGCCTACAAGTCTGCACAGTAGAACACGGCCATTTAAGAAGATCTCGAATCAACTTTTCTTATTTAATGTTTCAGCGCAGGGGGTGACTAAGGTGGAGCGGAAGATCTTTACCGTTAGCAAAACTCGAAAGGAGACACAGGGAGGGTGTTGCCATAACAACTTAATTTGTATCGACGGGAGAAAGGGGGGAGGAGATAGGGGATTATATTGCCTACAAACTTCTGGTAATCATTGTTACACGTGTCAAATTGTCTGGATGTAGTTTTCCGGAAGGTGGAAACTCAAAGCCAAGCACACACACACACACACAGACGTTTGGTTACACAGAGTCATTAACCTGATGCACACCTCCGCGCAACATGTAATTGTAGCAAGAGCACAGGAAGATGGATGCGGTGAGAAGACAGGTTCCTATACATTACGCATTTTACAGGATATATTGCTGCACCGTCGTTCACGTTTAACTGCAATGAACAGTTTTCCATGATAGTTATTCAGCTGACCGGAGGGTAGCTGCGAATATACTGAATAAGCAGTCGCGCACCGCAGACAAGCGGTGGTCCTCCACCTTGGTGTTTTGGGGTGGGGCTAACAACCCCTCACCGTAAAAAACATAAGCTTGTTACGAAAATTCTCAAGAAGTCTCGGACCTGGACGGATTCCTTGGATAAATGCCCTAAGCGAAAGAAAATGAATATGAGATTTGGTACATGGAATGTTAAAAGTATGTATAGGGCGGGTTCGCTCAGGGCAGTGGCAGAAGAAATCTCAAAATATAAGTCAGATTTAGTGGGAGCACAGGTCAGATGGGACGGATGTGGCAGCGAACCAGCAGGTGAATATACATTTTTCTATTGAAAGGGGAATGAGAAACATGAATTGGGTACAGATTTTTTCATACATAGGAGAATGATATCAGCAGTTAAGTGGGTAGACTTTTTTACCGATAGGATGTCATACCTGATGCTAAGAGGCCCGTTTCTATTCGCTTAGTTCCCCTCCAACTGAGCTATTCATTTGTCGTTTTCCCTACATTTATTTTCATTTATCTTTTGCCCTTGTGTAGCATATGAATTCCAATCACATTCGCTTTAAATTAATCACCTTAGCAGAAGGAGGTGATTAGCACACCTTATGAAGCTCCCCGTTATGTAATTTTCTCCATCCTTCCTTAAGTCTATATATCTTGAAGAGAGCAATCTTCTGGGATTTGGCACCGTGTATATGTGGTGTTAACCGACGTTTCGGAGGAACGTATCGCCTCCATCTTCAGGGTAGAAGAAAAAATATAAGAAATCTGCAAGCGAAGAGACNATCTTGTTGAGCACTTTATTTGCAAACACAATCTACGATCCTCTTTCAGAGTAAAGAGAAGTTCTGAAAATTTAGTTCTTTGGCATGACATAGAGTCATGGAGGATCCTGAACAGACGTAGTAGATATTTCCTGGATTTGTTCTGGTATCAATTTAATTTAATTTCTTCGTCTCTTATTGGAGTTTTCCCTTGTTTCACTTTAAAGATGTGAAATAAAAGCACTTACCCAAATATAATTCGTAAATTTTCCTTCAGTACCTTCCGATACAATGTTCATTATATCTGCACTCGTTAAGATTTACACATAGAAAGTCAATATAACACTTCTGAAATGTTTAATAAATCGATAGTTATTTAAGCATTTAGAAATTAGTCAATAATTGTAAGATGTAGAGTTTTCACCGCGGTGAAGTTTCATACGCAGTCTCCTGGGTTATGACATTTTTGCTGCATCCTGTTTGGTGTGTACCCACCTGCCAGACTACGACACGGTGTTATAAGTCCATAGCAGGTGGAGCTTAATTTAGTCTTCAGAAATCTGGAAATGCATTGAATTCGGGCACACACGGTGAATGCCATGCTTGCTTGTTAAAATACTCGTACTTACTTTATTTATTTTTACTTCCTCTACTCGTACTAACACAATTTTATATTTGTTATTTATGTACCAGGAAACTTCCTGGGGCTAAAGGGAGGCCGACGCATAAGGCTGACAACCTAACCGCCATCTGTGAATCAATTGTCTAGAAAGTATGGGAGCCTCGATGTCGCATAATCGTATGGGCCTTCACGGTCTCTTACAGTGATAGCGCTACCTTATTTAAGTAAAGTAAAGCACAGGTTACTGTGGTGTGTTTCGTTTCAATACATAAATATAACACCAAGTTCTTGTAGGACACAAGATTCTTGGTATGCATAACTTCATTTCATTCATCAATGGGTTTACAGCCCTTTGCCCGGCTGTGGTCTCTTCTTCAGTTTCGTAATCATTTTTACACAGTCGGTATGACTCCTTGGACGGGTGATCAGCCAGTCGCAAGGCCCCTACCTACATACAGGACAACACAAACACAGAAGAAACGCACACACCCCAACATCTACACCTTGAATGACACTCGAACCTATGAACCCACCGTTCGAGCGAGCGAAGACAGCTCATGTCTTAGACCGCGCGGCCACTGTGATCGGCAACATACATAACTATTTTCATCAACTCATATCAGATTAGCTACTATTACTGCTTATACCAATACCATCAGTACTGCACCAGTTACATTTCTGCTCTTTTCCTTTTTTTCAGTCCATTTCCTAATTTTATATTTCAGTTCCCTTGTAACCTCGGGTAGGGGTTGTGCCCTTGTAATTTTGTTCTTCAATTTTCATCTGATAAAAATTTTGTGAGCTCTCACAAATTTCAAAATTCTTTTCACAACATTCTTAGAAATGAGCAAGATACACGATCAGCTGCTTTTCAAGGACGATGGAACAGCAACAGCAGAGCATCGCTAACCTGATAATGAAGGCGGCCGCCACGTTTCTGACGCGCGGACACCTGATTAGAGCCACAATCGTCAGAAGGTTTCCCAGAATTCCCACCACCATGATCAAGACTGTCATAGTGGCTGCGAAATCCAGCAGCGGCCTCGAAAATCTGTAACAAAACAAATCAACAGTAAAGAAATGGGAACTGCTGTTGGTATCTCCCAATTCTACGCTATTTAGGCCTACTATAGCGCCTCAGTAGTTGATGTAAGACAGACGCATGCCGTGCCTGTCTGCTAATGGAAGTGCCGTGAAATATGTTCGGTATATTTTCGGTTATTTGTGAGGGAAGACGGAATTGTGGTATTGTAAGGTCGATGTATTTGTCTCTTCCCTAATAACTACTGAACCAGCTGACGGATGTCCGTGGAACTTGGAATGAACAGCATGCCACTAGAGGCCATCACAGTGTTGAACTTTCAGTTTCCTGGCCCCAGTGCCAGTACGGTAAGGTAATCATGTGAATTTCTCGCATGGGAATGATGTTCGTTAGGTAAAACAATCGTAGTTGTATTTGTTCTGTGTTTACGTAATTCTTTCTGCAGAACGTGCCAGCTTATGTAGGCACTCTGTATACATGTGCAATCTTGTCCATGTTCAATCTGGTTTTTAGACCATAATTTAATTTATCAGATCCTAAGAGAACCAGAGTGTACTGTCACGTATCCAGTGTTTGCTTAAATAATAAAGGGTTTTGGATTTGATGATCGAATTTATTGGACCTTTATACAACTGGTTACAACAGTTTACAAATCACTATCTGACACACAGTCATCTTATTCCTACTGCACACTCCACTGGAACTATTCTGAATTCCATCTGAACTGAACTCAGCTGTCAATTCAAAGTCAAAGTCACATTGCAAGTGACAGTCGGTAAGTCAATAAGTCTCGAAGTTACGGTCTTGTTTGTGTGGGGCGCCTTCTCTGACGAGAGGACGGATCTGTCTTTTGTATATGCTGCTGGCCCTTAACAGCGCAGTCTTTCTCTGGTCCGAGTCCTTTGGGACTCGTGACAATATTTTACTGTCTCAGATTTGCGACTTCCCTTTTTGTCGCCTCTTACGACTCGCAGGGTAACGGTAGAGGTATTCGACCCCGCCTCCACCGAGCTAACTGTCAATTCTTGTCGGCTTCTCGTTATATAGCCTCGGGTCGGATCCATAGAAATCACCTCTTGCAATGCCTTTTCTATTGTTGCGTGCGTGTACTTCAGGCGTTGTTTAGCAATGGGTATACTCTATTGTTGGTTGCGTACATGTTGCCGGCTTGTTTACCGAGTCATTGCCTAGCAATGGGCCTGTGCTTCACAGTACGAATAGAAACTTGAAAATTACTGTATACAGTTCATCACATAAAAATTGTCTCAAGTGTCAGTCAGCATTCTGATGTTGGTATATCAGTTGTAATGAGGTACTCCTTTACAGTGGTACTACGTAATTATCTTACCACGCCCCTTAATGTTAACTGCCGTTACCTCACCATTTTGTCCACTGTGTCCACACTGTATGTGTTCCACTTAGTGTGTCATGAAGACGTACTGGGCAGTGGAGGCACAGCTCCACAGATTTTTAACCTCAGCATAGATAGTGATGAGTGACCGGCTTCACCCCATGGCGCAAAAGCCAGGGCGATTGGTGTTCAGTTCTCGATATAAATATCTATTATCCTCATGCACATCATTAACCGGTTGTATATCATAACAAACAAGCGGAGTTTTCCTTGAATCTAGAAGACGAATTCTTAAAGACTGTGCATACGACTTTCAACTTCTAACCTTTACAGGACAGTGGTAACTATATCTACAACTTGTTGTAATATTAACTAACACATTCTGTCCACAGAATTTGTGAGGCTACTTTGCCTGTTTAGATCCGGAAAAGTTCAGTCGTTTTAGCGACAGGATACAGGCTGAACGGCTTGAATTCGACTGCCGAGAGGGGCAACAGATCTTTTGTATTTCACAGCGTCCAGGCAAGCTTTGGGACCCACCCAATCTCCTATCAAATGGATACCGGAGATTCTTTGTCCGAAGGTAAAGCAGCTTGGGGCGTGAAGCTGACCACTCACTTCCACATGATGGACAGGTCGAAAATGGTGGAGCAATACCTCCGCTGTCCCATGCGTCTTTATGGCACATTGCTTAATTAATTAAGCACAGGACACCACCAGGAAGACCAAGATATGGGTGGGTGGACAATATTAAAATGGATCTTAGAGAGATAGGATGGGATGGTATGTATTGGATTGATCTTGCTCAAGATAGGGACCAGTGGAGGACTCTTGTGAACACGGTAATGAACCTTCGGGTTCCATAAAATGCTGGGAAAATCTTGAGTAGCTGCATAATTGGTGGCTTCTCAAGAAGGTCTCAGCTCCATGAGTGAGTAACTTCACCTTTCTTCCTGATCAGCATTAATAGACTGATCTTTGTGATGAACATGTGTTTTCTTGAAAGCGAGAAACACTTTTCTTTTGAAGAGCTGGTACTCTAAAAAAGTGCTAAAATTTTCTCTGATTTTTATGTTTCTGACAGAATATACAGAGCGTAACTGAAAGGTGCGGGCAAACTTTGGGCATGAATTGTACACACAAAAGCAAGAAAGAAGTCCGTGTCAGCGTGTGTCCGGAAACAATTTGTGAGTTATAGCTGAAAGAAACACTATGTAGACACAAGCAGCAATTCACCATTAACGTGTGGGCAGGGATTGTTGGTGGTTGTTCAGTAGACCTTCATGTTTTGCCACATCAGCTTACAGACTGGCACTACCGCTAATTACTTTTACTTGATTTGCCATATTTCTTTTTATTGCTAGTGGGGTGGGACTAAGTCCCTTGTACTGCGGCCACTTCTGGCCTATTGTACCAGCCCCAGTTGATAGGTGAGGGTGATTGTGGAGCAATTGGTGGAATGAAGATTGGCAGGGGAAACCGAAGTACTCGGAAAAAACCTGCCCCAGCGCCACTTTGTCCACCACAAATTCCACTTGACCAGACCCGGGATCGAACCCGGGCCGCCGCGGCGGGAAGCAAGCGACTAACCGCTTGAGCAATGGCGCGGCCTTGATCCCGCATAACTACTGGAAGATGAGCCACTGGCAGACAGAGCACGAATATGGTACATGCATGATGGTGCTCCGGCACATTTTATCTGCGCTGTGCGAGATGTTCTCAGTAACATTTATCATCATGACGAATGGATAAATAGAGGAGGACCCACTGCATGACCTCCGCGCTCGCCAGAATTGAATCCCTGTGAATGTACCCTTGTGTATGCAGCTCCTGTAGACAATGCCGTCGCATTGTGGATGCCTGTCAGACTGTCCGCAACTACCCCGGCATCTTTAAACGGATGCGGGGGTCCGTGATGAGACGTGGCGAGGCTTACATTGGAACTCATTGAGGACATTTTGAGTACTTACTTAGTTGGTTAGTTATTGGAGAGGGTGGGTTTCCCCATGCACTTAGACCTGTAGTGGTCCATTGTGCTTCCCTCTATGATTTCTACCAGTCTCTATATCCTACCCGTACTGGTGCTTACCATCAGTCCCGCCCAGCCAGCGAGACCGGCTCTACTAGCTGAGAGGTATCTATAATGCTTCCCCCATCTACCAGAGGTATTAGAGACTGCTGTTGGGCGGGAAACGCCGTAATTTGGCTCAGTGACCTCGTTTGGAGATATGAGGTTCTTTTACGTGCCGTAAAACTACGACACGGGACCCACGGCTTAAAGTCCCTCCAGGAGGACTTGTTCCCTGAATTTTTCCGCCCTTAAAATTCGACGACCTCCGCCGGGTATTTGAACCCGCGTACTACGAGTCATGAGGTGGGAACGTTACCTCTAGACTCCGGAGGGTTTTTTTTGAGTACTTACTTACTTACTTACTTACTCATGGAGCTGAGCCCTTCTGGAGGAGCCTCCAATTCTGCATCTACTCAAGAATTTCCCAGCATTTTATGGAACCCGAAGGTTCATTACCGTGTTCACAAGAGCCCTCCACTGGTCCCTGTCCTGAGCCAGATCAATCAAATCAGTACCATCCCATACTATCTCTCTAAGATCCATTTTAATATTGTCCACCCACCTACGCCTTGGTCTTCCCAGTGGTCTCTTTCCTTCTGGCTTTCCCACCAATATCCTATACACATTCCTCGTCTCCCCCATTCGTGCTACATGCCCTGCCCATCTCATCCTCCTTGGCTTGATCATTATAATTATACTTGGAGAAGAGTACAAGTTATGAAGCTCCTCATTATGCAGTTTTCTCCANCTGTCTTCGGTCCAAATATTCTCAACACCCTCAGTCTATGTTCCTCCCTTAATGTGAGAGACCGAGTTTCACACCCATACAGGGCCACAGGCAAAATTACAGTTTTGTATATTCTAATTTTTATGTTTCTGGACAGCAGACGAGAAGACAAAAGGTTCTGGACTGAATTGCAGCAAGCATTATCCGAGTTCATTTTGAGTAGTTATTATAAATTAGTTTTTGAGCTGTAACTCACAAATTAAATGTTTCCGGTCCCATGTTGATATGGACATTTTCTTATTTTGGTATGTGGAACTCGTGCCCAAAATTTGTCCGCACCTTTCAGTTACACCCTGTATACTGTTTAGACAACATGACGTTTACATGTCATGAATATTGCTGGAGAATGGCGTAAAACAGAAATTAAGGGATTGTTGTAGCCTCCCTGTCGAATGACATGTCCTTTATTAATATTATACCCGTAAGCTGTAGCGCGTGCTAAACGACAATAATTTTGCCTGCGGGTAATGGAGCTTCGATAAACCTAGGCTTGTAATTTAAGGCATACTGTAATGCTAATACCAGCCACTAAATGCTTAAAATTTTACTGCCGAAAGCGACGGAGAGGACGAGGCAGTGACGTCATTACAGGAGATCGTCAGCATCTCTATCTCTACGCCCAGTAGCAATTAGTATGTCATCCTTGCCTGCCTAATCTCAAAACACTATCTTGTTCACTCCGAAGAGAATAACCCTTATTCGCTGCATTGACGCTTCGACACTCATATCGTCATTAAATAACAAAGTTAAATAAAACCCATATAGAGGAAACTGTGTTTTCTGTATTAATCGTAATAGCT